GAGGAAAGCAAAAGCTATGCTTCCTTTTAGTCCTAACAGACTACTTCACCAAATGGATAGAAGCTGAAGCTCTCCAGCAGGTAACTAAAGTCAAAACGAACGACTCGTATGGAGAGACATCATCTACCGTCACGGCATCCCATACGAAATCGTAACCGATAACGGGTCACAATTCATATCTAATGACTTCAAAGCATTTCTCGACAAGTGGAAAATTCGTCTCACTATGTCGACACCTCGATACCCTCAGAGAAACAGTCAGGCGGAGGCTGCTAACAAGTCGATATTAGCAAACTTCAAGAAACGTCTCAGAATCAGTAAAAGTTCTTGGTTTTAAAGACTACCTGAGGCGCTTTGGGCATGCCGAACCACCCCACGAAAGGCTACGGAAGAAACTCCTTTCTCCTTAGCCTATGGGATGGAGGCTGTCGTCCCAGCCAAAACCATCATCGGGAGCCTCCTCCGGGAACTTTGTACATTTAACCCCAAAGCCAATGATCAGCTTCTATTAGATAACCTCGATTTAATCGAGGAACGGCGAAACCAAGCCTTGCTTCGCATTCAAAAATACCAACAAGCAATGGCCCGACATTACAACTCAAAAGTCAGGTCCCGACATTACAACTCAAAAGTCAGGTCCCGACATTACAACTCAAAATTCAGGTCCCGACAATTCGTTGCACGTGACCTAGTACTTAGAAAAGTTCTCAATCATACCAAAGAGCCGTGCGCTGGGAAACTAGGAACCAACTGGAAAGGTCCCTATCGGATCATCCACATGGTACGACCTGGCGTTTACAGGCTCCTGAAGGTACGAACCTGGGTACCTGAAATCCGATCATGGAACGCCATGAATCTCAGGAGATACTATCATTAGATACCTAAACTCCCTGAACTACGTTATGCTTGATCCCTTGACTGGGTACGTAGGCAACTCTGTCATGAGTGCAGCCTCAACCTCATTTCAGCATTCTTTTCATCATNCGACCTGGCGTTTACAGGCTCCTGAAGGTACGAACCTGGGTACCTGAAATCCGATCATGGAACGCCATGAATCTCAGGAGATACTATCATTAGATACCTAAACTCCCTGAACTACGTTATGCTTGATCCCTTGACTGGGTACGTAGGCAACTCTGTCATGAGTGCAGCCTCAACCTCATTTCAGCATTCTTTTCATCATGGCCAAAGGGGGCATATGTTTAAAAACACATAGCCCAGACAGCAACTGTATGATTGCTACAACGCGATGTATTCTATAAAAGTTATCAATGAAGCGATTACATGTAAACATTTTGAGTATTCTTCAAACAAATCCAGGTCCCTGCAAACCTGGACCTGAGGTCTTAAAATCCCTCAAACGAACTCAGGTCCCTACGAACCTGAACCTAAGGACTTAAAATCCTTAGTAAATTCAGAAATCTTGAAAACTTCTGAACGAATCCAGATTTACGTGAATCTACCCTTAATGGCCTTAAAAGCCCTTTGGAAAGAGTTTAGATCCCTAAAGATCTTAATCTACTCTCGATGATCCAGGAACTCATTTCTTATAATCTCACGACCAATCACAATCGAAATCACTGAGACCTCTAAGGTCACTAGGTCAGCTGTTAACAAAATCCGCGATCTGATTCCGGAAAGATCACATAAATCCCAGACTTAAAAAGTCACAGTACATGACTCGAGTTTACACTTCGAAGTCAAACAAATCCAGGTCCCCATGAACCTGGACCTAAGGTCTTAAAATC